GAAGGACGAAAAAAAAAAAAAAAAAAAACACAATAAAAACAAAAGTAGAAGTATACTCATCCAAACATTGGTCCCACCTGGCTGCTAGACTGCTCCCTCTCAATCCGCTCCTGCAAAGGAATGTTCCTCGGCACCCTCACGTCTAAGACACCATATTAGACATGATGACTCGCAGATCCTTAGACCGTCGCAGCAGAGTGGGAGAGAGGCTGCAGGAATGGTTCTAGAAACCAGGCGAAACCGAGTTTCAGGTTAGTATATTCTTTGTTATTTTAAACCCTAGATGAAAACGAGCACTTACCCCTTACCCCTGTGCAGGGTTAGGCTCCCTGCAAGGGTTTAGTTGTACTCTGCCCAGAGTTTTTCTTTAAGTGAAAGTAAGAGATTAAAAGGTTACTTCAAAGGTTAGGTTAAAATCTTTGGAGTTATTTTTTTTACCCTCATGCCCCCGCATTAGTTTTTTTTAGAGGATGAATACCTTAAAGTTTACATAAAGCCTATCAATTAACTTCTCTTATTTGCCTTTTGATCGGGTAAATATATCAAAGCATTTTATTTCATCTGTTCAATAAGTACAAAAAAAAAATAGCTCTTGAGCCTGCCAGAAATCTTGTTAGCGAGTAACACTGTGCTCTTTACCTCCAATGTCCTCTAATCCGTTACATTGTTCCCAGCTTTGTCAACTGCAGAACATCTGCCCCATGCTATGAAGGAGAGAAGAGCAGGAGGTGTTGTGTAACCCTGTCTAGAATGACAAAGCTGCTAGATATAGTATATTAAGGGAGTGTGGTCAGCCTAGGACAGGAAGTATTATTGGCAGGTGCACCAGATAAAAAGAAAAGGATAAAAGGCCTGACAAAGAAAAATGAAAGCAGCCACCCCCTCTAAGGGACTGGTAAGCAGCAAAATATTGCATTATTCTACTTGTGTTTAAATACATTTCAATTACAGGAGTCTAATGCCGTCAACATTGGCGGTCCTCTAACACAGCCTTTTACAACCAGGGTGGTCTAGCACCCTGGAGTGCCTTCTGGCTTTGTCAGGGGTGCCTTCACATTTTGGCTAAAGGGAGCTCCTGACGTGAAGGGGTAAACGTCACTTTATTTTTTTGTCTGGAATCCCCCCTTAAAATCCATACCAGGCGATAAGGGTTTGGTATGGATTTTGGGAGGGGGAGCCACAAGGAGGCAGTGCATTGGGAACCTTTTTCCCCCCTTGAACAGAGAGTGCAGGGGGGAAAGCAAAAAACAATGTTCTCTGGGCTGAAAACCATGGCATCGACTATACAAGAAACTCATCCAGTTTTATACCTTTTATACTTTGGATGCCCAAGAATAAGAAAAAAAAAAAAAACACAAAAACAAATCCGAATGATCGTAAATTTAAAAAAAAAGTGTACTCGTCTAACAGGGTCATTTTTCAAGCATTTGGTCTAGACACTGATGAAATTTAACGTATCCAAATTCAAATGACATGTGCTACCCAGTCAGACTCTTTTATCAAGGTGTACCAATATTCTGACAGAGAAGCTGACAGGTCTCAAAATGTCGGACTGGTATAGATTTTGGAACAGACAAATTGCAACAAAATCCTCATTTGCCAGTATAATATTGACATTTTTAGATGAATGGCAAGATCTGACATTTGCTATGCTTATTATTTATAGTAATGCCACTTGAATATACTTACAATAACTAGACCAGGAATGTCCCAGTAAAAAAAACCAAGGTTTCAGTTTTTACCCTAAGTGACTTCATGCATTGAAAAAAAAATTAGGTAAAAGCCCTGAGGGAAATCTATCCAAACACAAAACTCCGTACTATAAAGGAGTATGAATAACGTACTGGAAAAGGCTGTCAGTGCAAATTTGGGCAAAATTTTGAAGCACATCAGGAAATAGTGGTGGTAGTGCTGGTGGGGGAGGTGAGAGCAATGAATGAGTGATGGGAAGGTGCTTGTGTGTCTAGCATTAAAGTGGAACTGTTACTTTCCCTTAAGGCCAGTGCTGATGGCATCAGCTCCACATCAGTTTGAGACGCTTGAAATCATTCAGAATTCATTGACAGATGCATTTGACCAGCAGGCTGTCCTAGGTCAAGCAGGTTTTGCTTCTCAATAGCCTTTTTGACACAGCCCCTTATAGGCGAAGCAATGTTTCACATTAGAAAAGATCACCATGGTGATGACCACAGAATGGAGGCAAGCACAAAAGAAGTTTTGGCTTTAGTTCTAATTTAACCCTTTCACTGCCAAGGCCTTTTGTTTTTTCCATTTTTTGCACACTATCCAATCCACATTTTAGGCCTGAAAATTACTTCAGACCCCCAAAACATTATATATTTTCTGAAAGCCAAGACCCTGTAAAATAAAACGTTGACAGTTGCAAATTTTTATGTTACACAATATTGGCACAACTATCAAACCCTAAAAACTTTTGTGAAAAAAGCACTTAAAAAAGGAGAAATATGAGGTGAGTGCTTTTCACTCACCTCATAGTTCTAGCCGACCTGTGACAATGAGACTGTCACAGGTCGGCTCCGTAGATCAGGAAGTGAGCGAACACATACCGGCATTCGCTCACCTCTCGATCCTGTCACAGCCCTCTGCTGTGACAGGGGAGGGGCTGGATTCCCCCGTCCCCGATCTGCCAGCGCTGACTGGTGGAACGGACAGGGGAGGGTACAGCTGGCTCTGCCTCTAGATAGGCAGAGCCAGTTGTCACTCACGCAGCTGGGCGGATCCAGACAGACATAATTGTCGGGATCCGCTTCAGCTGCGGCGGCGTCTCAGTATACCGCGAGCTGTAGCTTGCAGTATACTGAGCTTAGGGTGACGGGAGGACGCTAGTTTGTGTCCTCCCGTTACCCTTAGGAGAACTATGGGGAAAAGCCTTAACACCATAGTTCTCCTTTAAGTTACTTCACACATTTGCATAAAAATCTCCAAATTGATTACAGCAAAAAAAAAAAAAAAAGCTTACCGTATGATTTTCACTGGCAAAAATCTCTGGGATTACCAAATGGAAGCTCTGAAGGACGTATGTGGTTTGCATCTGCAAGAAAAAAATTTTTTTTATACTTCCAATCATACTTTTGGTAACTATAGAGGAGCCATTTTGAAATGCAGAATTTCAATGATAGCATAGTTTCTAAATAAACTACAGTTTAAGGACCCGTTCACATTGAGCGATTTATCGCGCGGTAATTCCTGCGATATCGCGGCAATTTACCGCGCAATATCACCCTCCAATGCTTCTCAATGGGGCAAAGGGTCCTGCTGTCGCGGGTCGTGCGTCGCTACAGCACGACCCTTTTTGGAGCGGATTTAGCCGCGATTCAAGCTTGCTCGATATCGCGCAAAATGCAAATCGCCCGACAAACGCGCGATTGGCGAACCGCTCAATGTGAACAGGGTCTAAAGAGGAACAAGGGTGTTTGCAGGCAACTGAAGAGCTGGGTATACATTAGAATTTATTTATTGTTTTGGAATGTTTGATTGTCTAAATAGTTAGTTAATGGAGTCAAACTGACGCCCGATCTAGACTGTAGTGAGGAATAATTATATATATCAAAGCCAAAGTGTAAT